AAAATGAAGCACTTGGATTTACCTGAAATGAAAAAATATTATTTTTGGTTCATTAATATTTTTGCAATTCTGACTTTTCATACCAGTCTGAGACAGAAAAAAAATAATCAAACCCTTTAAAATGTGTGTGCAACAGACAAACCATTTCTGTCCTTGCTTTAGTCCATCGTTGGATGGCTAGAGCACTTTACATTTAAATTGGTCAAAAACTCGAGCCACAAAAGTTTTTTGGGAAAACTTTGCCAAACTTCTTGCTCTGATGCAGAAGGAAATGAGATGTGTGTGAGACGCTAGCAGATCTGACTGGTGACATCTGAAAGCAGGTAGAGACCGTGATTTTCTACTTTGTCTTTCTGAAAGATAGCAATATGTTATCATTTGGCATGCAGAATTTTAGCTTAGGAAACTTTAAATTCAAAATCTCTGCTTTCCTGAAGTTTTCATCCATGTGTTAATGTTGTTAAATGTTAGCGTACATTATTTTATTCCAAATTTCAGAAACACCATTTTGAGGAGAAAGGCTCAGTCCTGGGACTTCAAGGCCTAGCTAGGCCATTAAGGGAATCTGAAGACTTTGACACACTGGGACCAAGAGTTGGTGTGAATCCTAATGAAGTCTGAAGTTTTCACCAAAGTTTTCACCCCTCAGGTCACAGAGAGCCAAGTACTACTCCCCAAAAGAACCAACGTCCTAATCCAAAGTCCAGAGAAATCAGATTATAGTGAATAGTCCAGAGAAAGACTCCCTCGGACTTTAACGGGCTTTAGATCACATTCCAGGCTATCCATTCCCAAGCAACTCAAGGGAGAGATAAGCAGAGTGGAACATTCCATGAGGATCACACTGTCTGATTGTTCATTAGGTAAGAGTGTTTATCTGGAGTGGAGAGCAGAAGTGGTATGTGGTCTCCCAGTGTCTGTGGTTCTTTAGACAATCTCAGACACAAAGGAAGTATGCAGGGAAGACTGACTTCTCCGCTCCATTCATTTCCTTTCCTCTTTTACAGAAACTACAGAAGGGACTCTGCAGGATTTCATACAGTAAACTCTCCAGATCCACAGGAGATCACTCTCTTCCACTCACAAAGCAGAGGGGACTACAACATGGGACTATCCTATTAGGCCCCCATCCTCTGCTGGGATCCTCACAAGTGAACACCTATATAGAAGCTCACCAATATTAATGGATCTCCATGCAGATGCAGCAGTCCAATCACGTGCTGCCAATTACAGGATAAGAGCATTAGATCAGATCAAGAAGATGGTCTCACGAGTGAAAATATACCTTGGATAAATTTGTATTTACCTTTGCTTGAATTTTGGTCTATAAATATAACTATCAGCCTCCATGCAAATTAAATAGGGTTACAAACGGTTAGAAGCCAGTATGTCCCCGGTTAGCTGGGCAGGTTCCTAAATTAAAGGTTACTAGACAACTTGCAGAACCACCAGTGCTGGAAAATGGAGAAAGTGAAAAAAAAAATGCTCCTGAGAAACACTATCACAATTAAATTAACGGGATTTTGAGAGGATCCAGGAAAGTTCCTGCAGCTTCTGCCTCCTTTATAATGTCATGGTTTTAATTTACCTCATTTATATTAATGAATAGTGGATTGCACGACTATTAGCATGATTGAAAATTGCACTAATGCTCAGTAAATCTACCTCTAATTATGATGATTAATGAGAAGTTGATCATCTTGGACCAGCTTAACAACCTAGAACAATTGAAACTGAGTAAAAGAGATGTTTCTTGGTAAATCGGGTCTTCAGTCTTTTTTATTTAATGAAAACTAAGCAGTCCACTCAGCAATATTACCTCCTAATTCACTATAATCATCCATTTACATATATCTGCATAGATTATGTCCCCTCCACCTACATATTTACCAGAAATTAATTTACTTCAAAAGTGCATTAAAACTTAGCCCTATGATTAGCTTAATACTGTAGTAATGTTCCATTTTGTAGTTGGATAATAACCGTAGCTCCGCTGCTTTTACACCACTTAGCTCCTGAACATGCGCATGGTGCAATTATCTATAAGTATTACACCCAGTTAGAGACATTGGTATTCACTGCCACCCATTTTAAAGAAAATCTTCTCAATTTGATATGTAGTTGCTGGCATGCTGAAACCACCGCCTATCACGCTGACCAATATTGTCTCATCACTTCCTTGTATTTCCCCATCTATCAGTCTGCACCATCTGTCTTTTGTCTTAAATTTACTTCGTAAGCTCCTTGAGGCATGGACCGTCTTTTTTAGTCTGTGTTTGTACAGGGCCTAGCACAATAGGATCCTGGTCCATGACTGGGGCTCGTAGGCACTACAATAATACAAATAATAAAAATCAACTTCCACACATTTTAAAAGGACAAGGTCAACTTCAAATGTAGTTTGTGGGAGTTTCCTCCCCTTCCCCCACATCTGTTTTTAAATTACTTTAAATAGTTTCAGGGACTATAGCTGATCTGTGGTTTGTGTGATAGGGTGTCCACCCAACACAGGACTGGCCGGGGGCTAAGGTGACCAGGTAGGTCAGTTAACTCCACAGGCTGCACCTGGAGCAAGAGCCAGGGAGTAGGGAGCTAACTGGAAGCAGGTTCAGCTGTGCAGGAACAGGAGGGGCTTGTATAAAGTCCAGGAGAGGTGAGCAGTAAAGAGATTGATGGGAAAGGCTGCAGGAAGGAAGGCGGCAGTCAGTCCCTATGAAGAGGGTTTTGGAGCTGGTACACCCAGAGTGAGAAGGGGAACCAGGTGTGGTAGGAAGCAATCCAGGGAAGGAGGAGTGAGGTCTGAGAAAGGAAAGCCCAGAATTGCTAAGCTGAGGGTTCCTGGACTGGAACCTGGAGTAGAGGGTAGGCCCGGATTCCGCCATCAGCCACTGAGGGAGTAGCACCATGGGGCAGTGAGAGGGCAGACTGCCTAGGACTTCTAGGGAGAAGGGACTTTGCTACCCCCCAGAATGACCACATGGAGGGCTGAGTCACAAAGAGGACATTGCAGGGCCTGGAGCTAGAGGAGCTGCAGACCAGAGAAAGAGAGAGAGTCGGAGTGAGGGCATTCAAACCATGGACCGGGGTGGCAGCCCCTAGAGTTAATCCCCAGGGTGACCCCAGGAGGAGGCACTAGCGCACCAGTGAATGGTATACCAGTGACAGTTTGACAATCACATTTTTTATATAAATGTTTTTCTCCCATTTCTGTGGGAAAAGGCAGGGGAGAAACACAAATGGGGAAACAAACGAGGGGAGAAGTGAAAGTGTACACAAAGTGCTGTCAAAAGCACAAAGGAAACTGGAAACAGAAACAGGTTTATTATTTTATCAAATCCCTTTCAGTTATAGTAATCTTAGGCTTTACTTATAACTACAGCGGGGCAAAAAATTTTGTACAAAACTTTTGTTTTTGGTGAAAAATCCATTAGCCACCCAGGTCTACTTAGAACATTAGGTACAAAAAAACAGATGACGTGCTTTTTAAAGTTAATGGTCCCTTTAACTTGAGATGAAGAATTTTTATTAAGTTTACGGACATGTCTGAGCCAACAAGTTCAACTCCAAAATTAGACCCAAAGTTTCAAAAAGCTCAACAGTGTTCAGATCTGGGATTATAGCAGTAGGAAGACAGCTGCCAAGTTTGGATCCAGAGGCAGACATCCATCCAAAGAGGATTCAGCATTTCCATTAGGACACATCACTAGTTAAAATATGAATTTCCTTTCTCCTTACCTCCCTCAAATAAAGTCACCCATCTCTTGAAATTAACCAAGAGTTCTTTACACCAAATATTCCTAATATTTCTTAAAGGACCAGTTTACAAAGTGATACAGAGGGCTCTATATAAAACTGATCTGTCCTCATTACTATTTACAGTCCACCAGTCTGTGTATCATCGCCAGTGATATCAGTAATTACTTAATTACTGCATTAGGCTGAGTACTGGTCCCTTCAGCACTTTACTGATCCCACCTTGTTGAAGAGTTCCCATTAGCAACTACCTTTTGAGATCTATCACGCAGCCAGTGGTAATCCATTTAATATGTTCTATATTGATTTTTAATATGTCAAATAAGACTTTTCTGACACAGTATTAAAATGAATAGCCATGAAGGTTCTATTTTAAAATATGGATCAAAAGTCCAGGAAGAGCCAGCAATAACTGAAAACTACTGACTGAGAAAAAATGTGCTTCTACTTGAAAGTTTCATTTATAAGCTGTAAATTATATACCAGGTTTAAACAAGTTTGAGTACTGTACTTCTCACATTTGAGGTAAGAACATTCATTCGTTCGGATGTGTGATTCACAGAGACAGCATAGATTAAAAGAGAAAGTTGGTAGCTAAACAGCAGGGTGGGGAGCCTTACAAGTCATCAGTAGGAAACTTTTCTTGAAGTGGAAGAACCAGCCTCAGAATTCTCACATCAGTCAGGGAGTGTCCTGCACATGACTGCCTTAGCCTTTAAGGCCCTGTCACTGATCTAGGGGGCAGTTCTTTATTTAGCATTTGCATATTCGCAGAGCCAAGCAATAGTGTTCTTAGTGGTCAAGTGAAGCTCTCTGAGCCCACCATTGAATTTGGTTAGCGGTCACTCCTCAACAATGTGTATCATTGTTTGATCTGCACCATCACTGCAGCTTGGAGTGTCTTAAAGACCCCAATGGTGCTGGTTGGCTGCATAGAGGCCTTGCCCAGTCTGGAATCAGTTAAGAAGGGCCTGCTGATGATGTGGCAGGTCAAATCCAGGCAGGTGGGCAGTAGGATCTCTGACAAGGAACTGACTGGTGGTTGAGGTTAATTACCAGTCTTCCTGCCACAGGGACTCTGCTGACATGTCCTGGCGTGACAGCCTTGAAAGAGGTGTAGCTGGTGAGCTAAAAAGGTTGTTGAACAAGGGCAAGCTTGGGTTGGCATGTACCTTCTCAAGCAACTTGCCAGCTGCAATCTCCCTCCTGATGTAAGGAGGAGCAATGTGGTTCAGAATTGGAAGCCATGGAAAATGAGACGATCAGAGAATTCTTGTGATGATGCGCATTGTTGAGTTGAGTTTAACATCAACAAGTTTGGTGTATGCTGACCAGCTCCATACTGGTTGTACAGTACTCTGCTATTGAGTATGAGGCGGCAAGGCCTGAGGTCCTTAGGGTTGGAGCATCCACTCCCTATGAAGAACCTGCCAGTTTGTTACTATCTTGCTCAGATGGCTTTTGTACATCTGTGTTCGGTTGAGGGTCATGCCTAAGTAAACTGGGAATGGTTCAGCCTCTGGCTATTCATTATGATGTTTAATTTCCTCTTAACTTTGCATGGTGGGAGTGGAATATGCTAGAGACTGCCTTGCAGGTGGCTAGCATGAAGGCACCATGTCTTGCAGTAGTCAGCCATCTTTGCAACGTCATCAGTCAGGGTCTTCTCTAGCTCAGAGAAAGTCGGAGCCTGTAGCCCGCAGCAGATGTCATCTGCATAGATAAACTTCCATGACTGGGTTGGTGGCAGGCCATTGATGTATACATTGAACAAGGTTGGGGCTAGAACAGACCCCTGGGGTAACCCGTACATCTGGGACAGTTAGGCATGAGCACATTCCAATTCAAAGGGGTGTATGAACACTCTTCAAGGACCTAGGGGTTCTTGTAGACTGGAGGATGACTATGAGTCGACAATGTGACGTGGCGGTGAAAAAAGCCAATG